TTCTTTTGAAAAATAGAGCTGCAATACCAAACAATACTATCAGCGCAGAAACTATATCAATATAGCCAAAGTGTTCAATACCAGTATCGCGTAGATACCAACAGTTAAAAACTTTTTGATACCATTATCGTATTGATACCAACTGGTATCAATAAGATACCTTCTGGTTAGAAAATAACCAAAATGCAGATAGGAAAACAGTTTGATTACGCTGCGTTATCAGATATTTCTAACTTTGGGTAGGATTGTGATATAACCTTAGCTACGTAAAATTTTTAAACTTGTAAGGTTTGAAAGAAAATTTGTAAAAAAATTGTATTACAAATAACCATTTTTTAAACAAATTTTTACCTTAAAGGTATGATTTGCTACCTTAGATGATAGCAAATTATACCTGATTTAATAATTACATAATCTTACCCAAAAGTAGAAACCTTTACCTTTATTTTAACAGTATGTTTAGCTAGATGGTGAAAAAATATACAATGCAAAGTTGTGTGTAAAGAAGTTAACAAAGCCTAAAGTTTGTTTATTTATCGATGAATTTTTTTAATTATAAATCAAAATTTATTATTTACTATATTAGAGTAAATTCTCAATTTTAAAAAAATTTATAAATAGATACATAAAATATAAGCAAAAAAATAACTTGTTTATCTTTTTTCTAGCTTCATCTAATGAGAAACCATCCTTCTATACACGTCGGGCTTGAACAGATGGAACTATAGAAGCTAAGTGAAACAAACCACATAGAGATAAAAAGAAAAACAGTGGGCGTGTATATTAGTTATATGATAACTTTAAATGTCATGGCTTGCTTTTAAAGATACGTACAAATATGGGTAAAGTTTGCAAGTTTTTTGTGACATCATAAAAAATAGTATGCAACAATGGTAAGACCGTGTTAAAAGATAGAGCTGTTCTACAAGACGGAACAGTACAATCAGCAATACTAGAAAAAATTGTTTAAAAAATTCATAAGATTGTGATCAGCGAATGCTCAAAAAATGGAACAGCATTTACTTTATGGTTTAAAAACTTCTGGTGACCAAAAAATCTATCAAAGAAGTGTTTGATGATATAGCAGATAAAATGCAGATCTACGCCGTCGGCTTGCATTTTATTTGCAATCAAACAACCCTAATTTTAATTCACTCACATATGCCGCATATCACCTTGACTCCACATGAGCGATAGCGCTATTGGATGTTAAGCATACACAAATCAAAGACTGCGCTCTAAAAGTATACATTCTTTCAGAGCATAAAATATTAGTGAAAAATGATTTTCTTTTAACAAGTTTATCTACTGCAATTGCTCCATCATCAAGTACATTAATGAAAATAAAAAACTTTAGCAAAAATAAACAGTAAGTAAATAAAAGATATATATATATATATATATATATATATATATATATATATATATATATATATATATATATACATATATATATATATATATATATATATATATATATATATATATATATATATATATATATATATATATATATATATATAAATATATATATATATCTTTTATTTACTTACTGTTTATTTTTGCTAAAGTTTTATATATATATATATATATATATATATATATATATATATATATATATATATATATATATATATATATATATATATATATATATATGTATATATATATATATATATATATATATATATATATATATATATATATATATATATATATATATTTATCTTTTATTTACTTACTGATTATTTTTGCTAAAGTTTTTCATTTTATTAATGCACTTGATGCTAGAGCAATATATATATATATATATATATATATATATATATATATATATATATATATATATATATATATATATATATATATTATATATATCTGTAGGCCACTCTTATTTAACATGAATGTTTATAATATATATCAAGTATATGTTTATAATGTTCTTTGTTTTATGTTTTAATGTAAAACCAACTCATCTCCAGCTTCCTTTTTTGATTTATATTCCTTAAAAGAAAAAAATTATTATTTATTAAGAAATGATAATTTTATTAAACAATCAAAGTTTCAAATAATCTTTGCGAAATTTTGCATTTCTTTTCGTGGAACTATTTTGTGGAACCAAATAATTTTAAAAAATTTTGATTTTTCTCATGAATGGAATTATTATATGTTCAAAAAAAAAACTAAAAAAAGTAATTTTATCAATTGAAAATATATTCATATACTTTTAATTATACCCAGTTTTGTCATCACTCATTTATATTTTACTTTTATGCAATATTAATTTAACGTTTATGTGAGAAACTATATTTTAACACTGTTATTTGAATTTTGTTAAAAGTTGCACTGACATTATTTGTACAGTAGTCTATTATTATTTACTTGTTTATTTTAATTGTTATTTTAATTCGTAATATTTGTAAACAAGATTCTGTGATCGTATAGATGCGAGTAAGATGCATATATATATATATATATATATATATATATATATATATATATATATATATATATATATATATATATATATATATATATATATATATATATATATATATATATATGCATCTTACTCGCATCTATACGATCACTGAATCTTGTTAATCAAATGTATCTTACAATTACACTAATCTTAATTGTTAATTAATTAATAAATAACCGAAATAATAAGAATATGATTGCATTAGGTGCATCCAAATACACTTCAGGGTTGTCCGAAAGATTGTGTAGAAAACTTTAGAAAGCGAAATGATGGTGTCACTGTGTGTGAAGCCAAAAATATCAAATGTTGGTGCGTTTACGTTTACGCTTCCACTGACAAAATTGCTAAACCACTGTCAAAGGATGGTTAACTTCCAGAAGTATCATACATGCAATATTTGCAGATACATCCATTCATATACATTCTTTTTTTTTTTTTTTTTTTTTGATGTAATTATATATATATATATATATATATATATATATATATATATATATATATATATATATATTTTTATTATTACAAAATTAAATTCAATATTAAAAGTATATACCTTTCGTAAGACATATTATTTACAAATATTATGAATTAAAATAAAAATTAAAATAAACAAGTAATTAATAATAGACTACTGTACAAATAATGTCAGTGCAATTTTTAACAAAGTTCAAATAACAGTGTTAAAATAATTGTATAAAAGTAAAATATAAATGAATGATGACAAGTCTGGGTATAATTAAATGTATATAAATATATTTTCAATTGAGAAAATTACTTTTTTTAGTTTTCTTTTGAACATATAGTAATTCCATTCATGAGAAAAATCAAAAATTTTTAAAATTATTTGGTTCCATAAAAAGCTCCACGAAAAGAAATTCAAAATTAAGCAAAGTTTGTTTGAAATTTCGGTTGTTTAATAAAATTATCATTTCTTAAAAAATAATAATTTTTTTCTTTTAAAGAATATAAATCAAAAAAGGAAGCTGCAGATAAGTTGGTTTTTTCATTTAAACATAAAACAAAGAACATTATAAGCATTTACTTGATATATATTAAAAACATTTATGTTAAATAAGAGTGGCCTTGAGTGAGTAAAACGATTTTAATAAGGCGTGCAAGAAATTTATAAGACGTGCAATATGCTTCTGCTGAAAATAAAGTGGCTTTAATTTACTTTTATGGATACTACCCCATGCAATATTATCATAATTAAAATGACAGTGTATAAAAGAGTAATATAGTTGTGTTAACGAATGTTTGTTTAAAACGCTTCTTGCTTTATATAAAACTCCAATGTTCATATATGTAAATAATGTTCCAAAATCATCGAGTACAGTTGCATTTTCTAAATACGTGAGTTACATATCTACTGATAAAATCAAAAGTATTTATGATATATCTACAAACTCACCAGAAATCACAAATATTATTGTATATGAACTGTAAAGTAATACTCTCATTTTGTTTACACCAAGCTTCACAACAAAGAATATTTATCCGAATTTAATTAAATACTAACATGATCAGCGTAACACTGTGTAACGTCCGCCGTTGAGCATACCTGAATGAATTGTGTTGATTTTGATGTCTTTGATGGCTTTGTTCAACTGTGCTCCGTGTTCAGTTGTGCCCCACTCTCCCCTATTGACTTGGCATTGACATTGCAAATCGAGGAAGTATTTTTTTAACGGCGAAAAGCTGAAAAATAGAAAAAAGAATAAAAGAAAAAAAAGAAAAGTTCTTAAGAATGGATTAACAAAAAACTAATGAAGTGAAAACAATGAAAATATTAAAGAATATAAATCGAAGAAAAATATTAAATAAACAGAACAACTATAAACAAAGTTAAAAAAAAAAAATGTTCTTGAGATATTTGAAAATAAAAAAAAAAATTTAAATTTTAGTTATCAAAAGAAAAAAAAAAAAAAACAATTTTTAAGTTTTATTAATTTATGTTATTTGCATTGATTATATTGTCGTGTATTTTTGTGTATTGTTTATATTGTCGTTAAATTCTATTTTTGTTTATACTGTCGGATAATTTTGTCTATCATTTATATTGACGTGTTTATATGTGTATTGTTTATAATGTCGTGCGTTTTTTATGTGTGTGGTGTTGTTGCTAATTTTTTTTATTATTGTTGCGATTTACATTTGCTGCTATTATTCAAGTGATTTCATATTATTTTGTCTCATCATAATATTTAAATATATCCTTTTGTTTTATTTTTTATTTTCTTTCTTACCTCTGATCGTTAAACGTTTATTATCTCATTCATTCGTTATCTCTCATGTCACCTCATTCACTTTTTCTTTTTTTGTTATTAGCCTTTTTTTTATTAGTTGTTGTTGTTCTTTTTATTATAATTATATATATATATATATATATATATATATATATATATATATATATATATATATATATATATATATATATATATATATATATATATATATATATATATATATATATAATAGATCGTAATTTATATATATACATTTTATATTACATAGTCGAAGTTAAATAATGATAAATAATTCAACACTGTATTTTCAAAGAAGTTTTAGTGTTTCTTCATTAACCACTGGTGTTTCAATTACATTGGTCGGATGTTTAATACTAATTGTAACTATTAGTATTCCCCTCAACACAGTTTTAATACTTGTTATTTTGTCTGAAAAAAAACTGCGCACCGCAACAAACATGTACATCATCAATTTAACAATATGTGACGTACTTATTGCAACTGCAGTCATACCATTTGATGTTGATTTCATACTAAGAGGATACTACCCATATGGAATAGTATTATGTGGTATCAAAGAATTATTGTTTTTGTTTTCTCTCCCTTCTAATGTTTTAAATCTATTTTTGTTGACGTTCAAAAAATTTACATCGGTATACTTTCCTTATAAACGAGCTCAATATTTTTCAAAACGTTCCGTGGCAATCTCGATCTTATTAACCTGGATGTACACTATAAATGTGAGCTTGTTCCCTATTTATATTAAAGGACCTTCAGCTATAAGTATTGTTAAGAAGATTTGTCAAATAAAATTTTCAATTGAATTTGCAATTTTTCTAATATTGGTTAACTTTCTTTTCCCAATAATATTAATGGCTATCTTAAATTTTTTATTATTTCTAAAAGCTCGAAAGCTTAACCAAAAACCACAAAAGCAATCAAGTATTATCAAAAGAAATTCAAAAATTACAAAAGGAATTTTAATACTACTTGGAAACACATTTATTTGCTGGATTAGTTTTATCGCAATAGCCACATCAAATCTGTTGTGCGGGGGATGTCATTCAAGAAAGTTAATCTGGTTCAGCAACGTTGTAAATTACGCAAACATCGTATTTAATCCGTTAATCTACGGATTGCTTAGCGAATCCCTACGTAAAACTATTTTTAAGAAAATGCACAAGCTTTTTAATGGATCTAGCAATATGAATTAAGACACAAACATATTAAGTTCAAAACATCTAATGACAATTGTTTATGAATGTGTTTATCTTTTAACGAAATCAGAAGCTTTTGAAAGATTCTAAACAATAAAAAACAATGAAATTGACTGTTGAATTTTTTATACTGTGAATATAATGATGACAACAATCCTTTGTTGATGACAAGACTATAACCTTGACGGCATCACTACTTTGTTGATCATAACAATATTATGCTACTACTACATTATTATGACAGCACCACAATGTTATTATGACGGTAATACTATGGTGATGACAACAATATTATGCTGACAAAAGCAATATTATGCTGATTGCAACAAATATTATGTTAATTGGAGCACTAATATATGGAAGACAATACTACTATACTAATGACAGCTACGTAATATTGATGACAACAGTATCACTTTAATGATAACAGCATTATGTTAATGCTAATAATATAATGTACGTGACAACAATATTATGTTTATGATAATGCTGTTATCCTAGCGGGTTTAGACGTTCTTAAAACGTCTATACGACGTTTTATATACGTCACAACTATAAAGGACGTCCTTTAGACATTTAACAAACCTTCTGTGCCCACTGGGATGTTGATGACAACTATTATGTTTAAGACAACAACATTATATTGCTGATAACAGTATTTTACCAATGACAACGGAAATAAAAAAGATAATACATCCTGCTTGAATGTTTTATTTTTGTTTTTAACAAAGTAAGATGACTAAAATCAACTAAATACATTTTTTTTTAAAATGTTATCATTAATTTTAAGATTAAAACTACGACTTCCCAGTGGACACGGACGTAAAAAAGATGTTTTTTAAACGTCTTACACACGTTTTGGACGTCTTCTGAACGTTTTTTGAACGTTTTGGACGTCTTGTGAACGTTTAAAAGACGTCTTTTTTAGGTCCGGTGCTCACTGAGTTTAAACATGATGAAAAATTATTTGATTTCATTAATTTTATTATTTTATGATATTTTATATAAAGAAGATATTATTTTATATAAAGAAAGATTATTATACGAAATATATTCTTTTTTATTAAGATTTAGGTTAACGTCTGTGTAAATAATAATACCGTTGTGTAACAAAATTACTTAAAATAAAATGTGAAGAGCATACTTAAATGAAAAATAGATAGTTAAATATATATTTTAAATTGAAACATTCTTTTAATTAAAATAGCAACTATAAAAGCAATTAAATTATTTTTTAATAATTTTTAAATAAAACCTTTTAAAAAATTTAGTATGAAAAGTTTAAAAACAACATATTATAGTTTTAGGATCGAGTTATTCAAGCCATCTAGTTGTCTCTAGTAGATTATAATTTGAGGTGAGCGAGTTTCTGCTTTAATGTTTTTTGCATTAATTACGAATGTTAAATAATTGAATTAAATCAAAAAAGCTGCATTTTGTGTTTTTCATTCTGCTTGCAACTAATAAGAGTGTCTTTTGACAGGAAATCATGATGTACTTTGACACAATTATTTACTGCAAACATGAAAGTGCAGAAATGCATAGCATTTAACTACTTTCTCACTTTAATTTGTCTCATTGTGTCATTTTCTTATGTTGTACAAATGTGCAGTATTAACATGGAATATTTGTACAAATGCAGTTAGTTTATTATTTTATTCATTATGGATATTTTTCCAAACATTGAATTAAAATACTAATTCTTCTGAATCGCATGACTCAAGCGAAAACAATAATATCATAATAGTCTTGATAAACAAATATGTCTTGCATCTTACTCGCATCTAGACGATCACTAAATCTTGTTACTCAAATGTATCTTACAATTACACTAATCTTAATTGTTAATTAATTAATAAATAACCGAAATAATAAGAACATGATTGCATTAGGTGCATCCAAATGCACTTCAAGGTTGTCCAAAAGATTGTGTAGAAGAACTTAGAAAGCCAAATGATGGTGTCACTGTGTGTGAAGCCAAAATTATCAAATGTTGGTGGGTTTACGTTTACGCTTCCACCAACAAAAATGCTAAACCACTGTCAAAGGATGGTTATCTTCCAGAAGTATCATACATACAACATTTGCAGATAAATCTAATATATATATAAATATATATATATATATATATATATATATATATATATATATATATATATATATATATATATATATATATATATATATATTACAAAATTAAATTTAATATTAAAAGTATATACCGTTCGTATTGTTTACAAATATTACGAATTAAAATAAAAATTAAAGTAAACAAGTAAATAATAATAGACTACTGTACAAATAATGTCAGTGCAACTTTTAACAAAATTTAAATAACGGTGTTTAAATATAGTTTTTCACATAAAGTTAAAATCAATAGTGTATAAAAGTAAAATATAAATGAGTAATGACAAAACTGTATAATTAAAAGTATATAAATATATTTTCAATTAAGAAAATTATTATTTTTAGTTTTTTTTTTGAACATATAATAATTCCATTCATGAGAAAAATCAAAATTTTTTTAAATTATTTGGTTCTATAAAAAAGCTCCTCAAAAGAAATGCAAAATTAAGCAAAGTTTGTTTGAAATTTTAGTTGTTTAATAAAATTATCATTTCTTAAAGAATATTAATTTTTTTCTTTTAAAGAATATAAATCAAAAAAGGAAGCTGGAGAAGAGTTGGTTTTACATTTAAACATAAAACAAAGAACATTATAAACATTTACTTGATATATATTTAAAACATTCATGTTAAATAAGAGTGGCCCTGAGTGAGTAAAACGATTTTTGAAATTTATAAGACGTGCAATATGCTTCTGCTGAAAATAAAGTGGCTTTAATTGTACAGCGCGCACAGACGTCCGTGAGACGTCTATACAATGTCTTATGAACGTTACAAGTCCGTAGGACGTCCTTAAGACGTCCAGTGGACGTTCTGTACCCGCAGGGATGTTAATATGCTAGCATATATACAATGACTAAATGTGTTTAAATTTGCAAGTTTGCATAAAAGTTAGCATAAAAGTTTGAATATTTACTTATAAAGATGCTTACATGTGCATTTGTTGAACTTTAAGTATAACAATTTAGCATTTTAATTAGAATTCTTATTGTCTATTGCTCAACAGCTTTCAAAAAACTTATTTAACTCTCAGCTAAAAGTTAATAGACGGTATTATCCCTTTTAAGTTGGCCGAGATAATCGTTTACCGTATTATTTTCCGTTTTCGTTTGTAAATGAATCGCTAACTTGAAAAAGGGGACATGTCACAAAAAGTATTTATCTCAGAAACTAAAAAAAAATGTATATTAGGCAAAGGAGATAATGTTTTAATTATATTATGACTTTTTTTAGTTATTCTGGTATAGTGTATTATTATATTGAATATATGAATAAAAGTGAATTTTAGTATTGGTCCCTAAAAAATACAATTTTGATTTGGGACATGTTGTTTTTTCATTTATGACAGTTTATATAATAAAAAATAAATTAATAAAGGTAATTATAAATAAAAAGTTGTACAAAAGAAATATCTTTCAAAAAAAAAAAAAAGTAAATACAAAATATTAAGAATTAGAAATAAATTTCTTATTTTTGAAACAAAAAAAATTATTTGATAGAATTTTAAAGGGTTACTGAGCTGAATAAATTTTTTAGTCTAGTTGGAAGCTTCAAAAAATGTTCCCAAAAAGGCAAAAGTTCTGCACGTATAATTTTAATTGTTTTTTAAATATCTTCTATTTTAGAAGCAAGGATTGGAAGTTTTTCTGAATAAGCCATGGGTGTTAAGCCATGGATGTTAAGCCATGGATGTTAAGCCATGGATGTTGGCATCTTTAGATCACTAGTTTTTTTTTTCTCAAGTCAAGTTTTTTTTTAATGAAGCCATCAATGAGTTGCCTACATGTAACTTCACCTGGTGTTTGATTGTTCATTTAAAACTGATCGAAAGAAGAAATTGGAAATTTTGTTTTTAAAGTAGTTGACCTACCGTACTAGTCATTACTAAAAGTCTGCCTTTTATAGTACTTAGACCACCCTTTGTTTATAATCAATGGTCTCGCTTATATCCACTTCCTGTAATTTAAATTTACGGCGTTTTGATGATTGAAGAATCAGAGATTTATACTGAGATAAAGTATAATATCTCTCAGTGCGCCGTAGAGTTTTACTTATCAATCCAATATCTCTATCGCAGGCCATGTAACTGTGACCTCTAATGGAAAAATTTATAATTATCTTGTCAAACTTTCTTAATTCTACCAAGGCCATAAAAAAGCGCAGAACTGTGCGGTTTTTGTTCTGGCCCCCACAGTTATCAGCAAAAATGTATAGTTTCTTCACATTTGGATTAACAAAATTCTGTAAATAATCATCTTAGAAACTGCAAACCTCGTTTGGGCCTTTGTGCCCATCAAACTTGCAATAAGTGTAGCATACCATATTTTCTGAGTTGATATCATAAATACCAAAGTATTGACAGTAAGTTGACGGAAATAGTACAAGTCCTGTACGGGGATGGTTGGTAGCGATACATTAGCCTTAAAGTCGATAGATATGCCAGCAACAGAATCATCTGTAGAACAATTTCCTTGACCAATTTAAGAGAGCTGTAAATTTTTTTTGCTCGACGTTTGTGCACAAGTAATTTGACTACGGAAGCTCTTTTAGCATTCTCATTAATAGAATTGTTTTTACTTTTTAAATTAAGTTCTTCACACTGGTCACAGCAGTCTTTTGCTGGCCTTCCAAATTTCAAATTTAAATTTTCATTAAAATAAGTTCAAAAAAATTTATAAGAAAAACTACTGTTGTCAAGATATCTTATTTTATACATTTCGTACATAGTTTTTACTGAAAGGCTAGCATCAAGATATTTTCTAATTTTCCCAGAGTAGTGAGAGTCATGGGTAGGAAAAGAATCTATTTGCTAATGAATACTCCAGACTACTTCTTACGACACTTCATTGCTTCTGTTCCCATGCTTTCCACCATCAAAAAGAGACTTGTTCATTAGTAGTAGTTTAGCAAGCCTTTCGATTTTTTTTCTTGAAATACTATAAGCGAGTAAAAAACATTTCTTACAAACAACCTTTCTCGATCCATCAAAGAGTAAATTGTATTTTATTGTCTTTGATTTTGGCTTTTTCAAAAATTTAGACGTTTCAGTCGTTCCACTTTTACAATTAATAGATTGTAATTCTATCATCAGTTGTAAATGTAAATTTTGTTCATTTTTTGAAAGAATATTGTAGAAAAAAATCCATAATTTTTTCTTTTACATCAGTTGAAAATGTATCCAAACAATTTGATTTGCAACTGCAATAAAAAAGTAAGAAAACTTTTACAAGAATAAACGAGAATAATTTAATTTAAAAATTAAAAAAAATTCAACACTTACCTACTGATTTCAGCTACTTGTTTGGCAAAAACAATTTTTACAACATGATTTTTATGCTCTTTTCCTAACAGTTTTACTTTTTTTATAACATTTCTTTTATACATGTGACTATTAACAACGCCTTTCTTTCTTTTCTTCCTAGGAGAACTACTTTGACTGTCTGTACTAAACATAATAAAATATAAGCAATTAAAATACACAAATCGTTACGATAAACCAGATAAAATGTTTATAAAGTTTGACATTGACACTGCTTATTCTGAAATTAAAATATAGTGATGCTTTTAGCGGTATTTTTATAAATCAATGCTTTAAACTATTTTTA